TTTTAATAGAAATTTTTAATAAATATTCTGAACTATCATAACTTAGCGTTTTTTTTAACTGTGTGATATGGTACTTTTTTGTAATAGTAGCAAAGGCTCATTATTTTCTTATCTATAATGAAGATTCGAATTGTGATTGATTGTTCCTGTAGTTAGTCCCTTATTTATTTCTTTTAATAACAAAAGGCATTCAGAGAGAATTTTCTGTGTTTTTCTTCTGGTATAGCATTTATTTCTGAAACTAAAAACTTCAGTCTAAAACAAATTTTCTGCAGTTATAAATTTTAATGACTGATTGCAAATAACGTTACATTTTGAGTATCTCAGGTATAAATTGCAGCAAACAGCTCTTTATTACAGAGGTTATGTAAGATTTTTTCAATTTAAGTTACAAATAAGAAAACTATTTGTTTTATTTAAATGTAATAAAGTTGTATTTTTAGTTATAACAAAATTCAATGTCTAGGCTGTGCATGTAAGTTAGGAAAAAAAATAAACGGACCTCCCTGAATAACTTTTGATCTGATGATCTGATCTTTACGTTCTAGGACTCAATCTTAAAGGTTTGAGGAGGAGACCTCAAGTATGCTACTTAATTAGGTACTTTAAAGTACTTTCTTCGAATAAAGAAGTCTTTTTTTTTCAAGGATTCAGAATTCTGATCTCCAAAATAAAAGGAGTAGCCGGAATCTGGGAGATTTCCAATAGTTTGGTCCGGAAAGCGAAGGCTCGAAGTTTGAACCCCTCAATGCCAATTTTATTTTTAGTGTTTTTCATCATATCTCAAAGATAATATATCCAAAGATAATCCCTTTCGAAATGTAACTTTTATTAAATATTTATTATCTTTTTTATAATTTTACTTAATAGGGAAAAAATTGAATTATGAAGTAAAAAATTCTTCACATAATTTTAAAAAATGTAATTTTAAATTGCAAAATAGAAAATTTGAGCGGAATTGGCCGAATAGATCTTGAGAAATCTAATTTTAAAAATACGACTTTTTCAATTGTACGGTAGAGTTAGTGTAGTCTGGAATTTTTAAGTAATTCTTGGAGTTTCTTCCCTTTGATTATATAGCGGGGAAACATTTTTTTTTCAGTTTTATTTCTACAAGTGCTTAATCTTACCAAATTCGGGTAAGAGGGTTTCAAATCGGAAAGCAACATTTTTTTCAAAAATATTTTTAGTTTATTTTTATTTGAATGCTGAATTTTATGAAGAATGCATAAGTTTATATAAAATACATATTAACTTTTCCAGCTCCTTTTGAAAATAACACACCCCAAAAATTTTTTTATTGTATCACATCATAAACTGATATGTATTATCGCCTTCTTCAAACCACTTTCTACGTAGCAGAGAAGTGGGGACAAGTGAATTTAAAAAATAAAAAAAAATTTCCGGTTCAGAGTCTGATATTAAATATCATAAAAACTGGTTTGTAAGAGAAAAACAGATCGCAACCTTGAAATTAGCAATGCTAACGTATCTAATTTTTGTTTAAGAAAAAAGTAATCTAACAGTAAAAAATTGTTCCCCAGTATAATGGAAGGTGTTACAAAACATTAAACAAAGACATATATTTCAATAATACAGAGTTGCATCCATTTTTAAATGAACGACGCAAGTAACTACTAAGAAATTTGAAAACTGATTTCATGACGCACTTTATTTAAATGCATTTCAGTGAACTTTTAAAATATTAAGAGTTTTTATTTCATGGAATTTAGAAGGATATAGGAATTTGATAAAACTAAATAAAATACTTTAACTGTCAAACATTGAAACTGTTTCGTAATCTTCGAAAATGTTTCCGTAATCTTTATTTGCAATACGCATTTTTCAATCCATTGGCGTTTATAATCTTCAAACATTAATCTTGTAGTAATAAATGAAACACGCGACTGAAAAATATACACTTTTGTGTGTTTGTTCAGTTAAATTCCAACGTAAACACATTTAGATAATTGATAGAACAAACATCAGCCTAGAAACTATTTGTTCTTCTCAATCGTTGGTCATATTTGAAATAATAAAAATTCAAGCAGACTATTTAACAGTAAAGGTATACACAATTGTTTTTCGAAACTTTTTCACCGAATGGGGAAAAAGCTACAACTTAAAACCCTTGGGCAGAATTTTTCGGGCTTTCTGTGACAAATTTCCATAGCACTAATTTTTTGCTTTAAGATACTTTTAACTATAACAATCACTAGTTTAAAGTAACAGAAACGTTTCGTTTACAGAAGAAAGTATAGAATAAAAATGCATAAAAATTTTTAATTGCAATTTTTTTTTTATGTCTACTATTATAGGCGATATTCTCGCATCTTGTAGGCGGAAAAATGCACTAATTATTTCCTCTTCGAATTTTGTAAATCTTTATACAAATTAAAATTCGTAAATAAATTAAACTATAATAAATTAAAATTCGTGCATAAGTTCTAAATCGTAAAATCCGTACAAATTACTCCGAAAATAAGGATCGACTACGAAATCTCGCGAATAGGAATCTTTAAAAAAAGATAATCAAATAAGTGTATGTAAAACACGGTGATCTTTAAAGGGAAAAAAATGAAAGAACATTTCTAGAGAAAACTAATTTTTAAACTTTCGCGATTTTTGAATTTTTCTTATTTTTTTATATTATTAATTTCGAATTCCAGCTGAAGGAAGAACATTACAGATTTTTTTAAAAAAAATCTCAAATGATAATAGAAAAATCATGATTATTTCTTTCCCCTCTGACGAGCAAGAAAGAAATCTTTAAGAAAAAGAAGAAGAAAAAAACATTTTTCGAAAAATTATGCAGAAAGGAAAATCTAATTTTTTTCTTTCCCAAATAAAGAATCTTTCTGCAAAAACTTTGTAACGTTCTGCGACAATGTCACAGTGTTGCCGCAATTCTGCACGGGGAACTAAGGTACCTAACACTAAGGTAAAGCTCTAAATTTAAACTATATATACCATCTGGCAATAAAGAATTTTAAACAGATAAATATCTTAACTATTTAAAAAGAATCGCTAGTTTGGTGAAATTTTTTCCATCTAGATGTAAAGCATTAAACTTTAGATGCAGATTTTTCATCTAACATACTTTTCATACTTGTTTATAATTTTGTATTAATTTATGTCAAAAAAAGTGAAAAATATATCAAGAATTTTAATAAATTATGGTTATGATATACAGCATGCGACACCGCTGTCTTTTCTGTATTAAAGGTAAAATCTTCCAGACACAGCTCACGACCAAACTGTAATTTTTCAAACAAGAGCTATTTACGTTATTTGGATCTAAGAGAAACATTTATTCCTCGTTGAAATTTCTTTAATTTACAAAATCAATTATTGATAAATTTTTGATTATGGATGGAAAAAAAAATTCCAATTTTTTTGTATTTTATATTTTAGTACAAATATAATTCCGATGTTGTAACAGAAATTTTTGTAACTATCAGACTGATTTTCATAATTCAAAAATACCAAAAAATATTTTTACTTGTAACTAGAGTGTTAGATCAAAGGGACACAGCTGTATCATCAGCTGTCCCAAAGGTACAAAGATTGGCGAAAATTGACCTAACAGTTATGAATAGCTATTACAGACTCATAACAGTTATGAAATAGCATAATATTTGCTCAAAAGCGTTAATTCATGCTATGGTTGAGCCTTCGAAAAATAGCATTATATACTGTTGACAAAAAACCCGGTTTCAATCGCATATCACAACCTCTTTGAGTCTTTACGGCTGCCACGATTCCAATGCTCTTTAATGATATTTCCACATTTTTTTCTGTTCGTTCAACTTATCAGTTTCTAACTAGCTAAATTTTATTAGCTTGAATGTTTAATGTAATTTATATAGGTTCTATATATTTCCACGTGTGTTTCTTTTGTTCTAAAATTTGCAGTTTAGAAAAAGATTTGAAAAAAAATAAATAACGAAATTAACAATGATGACAACCAAATTACGACGATTCATAAGAATGAACCGTGATTGCTCAGGGGATAGAGCGTTCGCCTTCAAATGAGGCGAACCGGGTTCGAATCTAAGCGATGACTGGTCGATATAAATTTCGCATCCGGCTTGCACAGCCCACAGTGCTGACGTGAAATATTCTCAGTGGTAGACGGGTCCATTTTATTATAGTAATTTCGAAATGTAATAATTTTTTTTCATAATACGGTCGAGCAAATTTTTAATTGTAACGTAGGCAAGTTTTTACATCGTTTTCAGCTATGTCAATTTAAAGATCTAAATATGCGATAACTAAGCCCGGTGGTTTTTAAGCTCTTTAATTTAAAAATAAAGCCATGTTTTGAATTTTGAATTTTTTGCAAACTATTCTATTAAGCCCGTTGGGGGATAGAGCGTTCGCCTTCCAATGAGGGGAACAGGGTTCAAATCCCAACGATGGCTGGTCGATATGAATTCCGCATCCGACTTGCACCGCCCACAGTGCTGACGTGAAATATCCTCAGTGGTAGATGGGTCATGGGTTAGAGTCCGCTTGCCGTCAGACTAACCATGGGAGGTTCTCGCAGTCTTCCTCTCCATGAAACTCAAATGCAGGTTAGCTCCATCAAAAAGATCTCCACGAAGGCAAATATCTCCCAATACTTGATCCATGAGTTGCCTTGTCTTCTGGATTGGGTTCAAAATTACAAGGCTACGGAGTTGAACATTAGTAGTCGTAAACCCATAAAATTGGGTCGGCTGTTCAACGACGGTTGTAAAATAAAATAAAAATTCATAAGAATAATTCTAATGCAGCTGGAATAAAAAATAATTTTTAATTGTTAAAATCTTAATTTTATTTTGAGTTTTATCAACTATTGGCGTTATGGGAATTTTGGATTTAAAAATAAAACACAAAGTTATCCCTTAAGATTTAAAAAAAAAAAAACTTTTTTCAAGCTAATAAAAATGGTCGTTTCATTTTTGTGGATACAGCATGCATATAATTTCTAATCAAACGAAAGAACTAGAAAAGAATGCTTTTAATGTTTCGTGCAGAATTACACAGGTGTGTTTAATTTCCGAAAATGGAATTTACATCACTACTTATATAATGTAATATCATGCAATTTGAAATTACAAACTGAAACTATAAATCTTTTAACGAAAGTGCTCATATAAAAGGGAGCTGGACATATTTCAAATTAGCATTGCGTCAAGCCCTTTTTCAAGGATCAACATGGATTGGTTTACTCGTTTTAGACTTTCTTTTCTTATGTCGATATTCACTCATAGCATGATTGCACTGGGACAAGCTTCGCCATGGTCAAGCTTTAGAAATGCTAACGCTTTCGTGGAATCGTTTTTGGAAAGTGTTAGCCAAAGTGGCGCTTTTACGCAACATCAACTTGATGACATGGATTCCATTGGCGAGACTATAGTAAGAGCTATGAGTGTTTTGGGAGGAAATGAAACTCCCAGCAAATTGCTAGCTTTGAACACCGCCTTTGCCTCTGCTGTAGCTGAAATCGCTATATCGGACTCAGGAGGACAAAATGTTGAAGAAACTACTGATGCTATAGCGAATGCATTGAGTTTGGCATTCTATGAAACAACTGGCAAAAGAGATGATACATTTGTAAATGAAATGAAAAGTCTAATAAACGCGTTTGCAGATGCTTCAGCAAATGCTATTGTTCATGAACCTGCTAACAGCATGTCTGCTTCAGCAAAAGCAACAGCTGCAACGTCTGCACAAGAAATGAAAACAAATGTACCGGTTAAAACTGGAAGACAAAGAACCGAAGCTTCAGCATCAGCAGTTGCTTCTGCAGCTGAACTTAGAGAGAAACGCCCGGACTCCAATTTACTAACCACACCATTAACGCTAAACAGATCCGGTAAAGGTCCAGTAAGAACAGCGGGTAGTCCTGAAAAGAATGACCGTGGAACTAGTAGACCTGCTATTACACGACTTCTAGCACCAACTGAAGCAGCTGATAATCCAAGAAGAAATGTTGAGCCTAGGAAATATACACAGGAAAGAGTTCCATCTGCAGATCTTTCGGCAAGACTTAAAGATTCTGGTCCAAGTGGGTATAAACCTAGTAATAATGGACCAAGAGAAGCTGAACCTGGGTATGCTTTAGCCACAGCTTCCGCAACAGCAACAGAAGAAGAATATAGTCCTAAAGAACCAGATAGAGTTCCCGTTGCAGAATTCACAAATCGTGGTCCAAGTGGATATAGGCCTAGTGACAATGGCCCAAGAGGAGCAGAACCCGAGCGAGCTTCAACTACAGCTTCTGCTACAGCAACATTAAGGGAATATAACCCCAGAAGAAATGAAATGACAGGAGTTCCAGCATCAGATCCCGATTCAAGACCCACAGATTCTGGTCCAAGGGGAAATAAACCTAGTGTAAATGGCCCAGGAGAAGCTGAACCTGTGGAAGCCCTAACCTCAGCATCCGCTACAGCAACAGGAAGGGAATATAGTCCTGAAGGAAATGTAGAAACAGATAATGTTCCCGCTGCAAGATCCACAAATCGTGGTGGTCCAAGTAGATATAAACCTAATGACAAAGGCCCAAGAGAATCAGATCCCAAGAGAGTTTCAGCCGCAGCTTCTGCTACAGCAAGAGAGAGAGAATATAGCACTGGAGAAAATGAAGAACCAGACAGAGTTCCAGCTAAAGATCTCACTGAAGGACCCACAAATTTTGGTCCAAGTGTGTATAAACCTAGTGATAAAGACTCAAGAGGTGCAGAACCAGCGAAAGTCTTAGCCACAGCTTCTGCTACAGCAGTAGGAAGAGGACTACTTCCTGGAGGAAATGAAATTACAGAAAGAGTTCCAACAGCAGATCCTGATTCAAGACCCACAAATTCTGGTTTAAGTGGATATAAACCTATTGACAATGGGCTAAGAGAAACCGAAACTGGGGAAGCTTCAGCTACAGCAGCAGTAAGGGAATACAGTCCTGAAAGAAATGAAAAGCCAGACAGAGTTCCTGCTGCAGGATCCACAAATCGTGGTCCAAGTCGATATAAACCTAGTGCTATAGGCCCGAGAGAAGCAGATCCTACCAGAGTTTTAGCCACAGCTTCTGCTACAGTAAGAGCAAGAGAATATACCCCTGAAAAAAATGAAGAGCCAGACAGAGTTCCAGAAGCAAACTCCGCATCAGGACCTACAAATCATGATCCAAGTGGATATAAACCTAGTGATAATGGCTCAAGAGAAACCGAACCTGAGGAAGCCTTAGCCACAGCTTCCGCTACAGAAAATGAAGAACCAGATAGATTTCCGGTAACAGATGCCGCAGAACGTAATCCAAATGGTTTTAAACCTAGAGATGAAGGCCCAAGAAGAGCTGAACCAAGGAAAGCTTTATCTACAGCTTCTGCTACAGCAACAGGAAGAGAATATAGTTCTAGAGAAAATGAAATACCAGACAGAGTTCCAGTAGCACATCCCGTTTCAGGACTCACAGATCATGGTCCGATTGATCAAAGAAATGATGGTTATGACTCAAGAGAAACAGAACCTGAGGTAGCTTTCGCCACAGCTTCCGCCATCGCAAAAGAAAGAAAATATAGTCCTGGAGGAAATGAAATTATTTCCGAACCTGTTGAATATGAACCACGCAGAGTTACAGCAACTCCTTACTCAAAATCAGCAGATCATGATCCAAGTGGACAAGGGCCTGGTGATTATGGCCCAAGAGGAACAGAACCTGAGAAAGTTGCAGCGGTAGCTTCCGCTGCAGCAACGGTAGGGAGTGTTGGTCCTGAAGGGTTTGAACCAGTTATTACCAGGCCTGATGAACCTAGACAAAGTAGTTACGCTCCGGTAAAATCTGGTGTAGCATCAGCAGCTGCTTCAGCCGTCTCAGCTGTTGGACGCAGTAGTCCAGTCTATGAACCCAGCGATTCTAATGATTATCCCACAGATGGAATAGGATCTGAAGCAGTCACTTCAGCGGTAGCAACTGATGAACCTGATAAATATAAAAGCTATGAAACTAGAGCTGTTAGTGATTCATCTGCGACAGCTTCTGTAATACCCGAAAGAAGACTTAGACCTATTAGGTATGAGCCTAACGATATTATTGCCTCATCTGCGTTAGCAGCAGCTTCAGCTCTGTCTAAATCTGCTGCGGGAAGAAGAATCTCCTCTACTACGTCAAATTTAGTTTCTAGTAAACCTGATAATGTTTCAAATATTTCTAAAGCTTTAGCAAGTGTAATTTCTCAAGTAATCGCCACCAATACGAGTGCTTCAGGCTGTGATGTGCTTGTTCAGACACTTTTTGAAATTGTTACAGCTTTGATACATGTCCTTAGATATGCTCGTATTGGAAATATCAATTATGACGATTTAAGCGAAACTACTCGAATGGTAGAGCAGTCAATTTATGAAATATTTGGTTGATCTTTAAAATTATATTTTTAATGATAATATACATTGCACTGCAACGGGCACTTCAACGAACACAATTTTCGCATTTATAAAGAATAATTCGAAAATTGACCCATCATTGATTTATTCAACTAATTGTTCTACAGCTTAAACCTAGCGAAGGACATCCGTTAGCTTTCCCTTTAGAATAAAACTTTTTTCGTTACGAACCTCTTCAGATATAGTTTGAATACGATAAGGGTGCAAGAGTTCATTCCTACAGTTTAAACAAAACTATACCTCTACAGGAATAGTTTTGTTTAAACTGTAGGAATTAACACCTGCACCCTTTTGAAATTCAATAAATTAAAATTTTTATATTGATTTTAAATGTGATTAACTTTTTATTTTGAAAGCATTAAAATAATACTTAGGTTTCATCTTTTCTAATTCACACACCGAGCACAAAGCTAATATGCGATATATTTCAAATTTTATATATGATTAACGAAAGTATTTGCTTAATAGAAGTATAGTAGGAGATAAAGCGTTAAAAAAAATTTAAGAAAAAAATTTACAAAAATTATAGAAATTTGAAACTAAATGTTTTTTTGTTTACATATATATTTAGAAAAATTTATAATTTTCTTAAGAAGTTTTAAAAATTAAATGATATTAATAATGCAATTTTTTGTCGAATGTCGTTGGCATTAATTAAAGTCTTGAAATTGTGCGTAATGAATGACAATTCTTGAAAAGATTATAGAAATTTGAAACTAAATTTTTTTTGGTTACATATTTATTTAGAAAAATTTTGATTGAAGCATGATTTTCATTTAATTTTCTTAAGAGTTTTTAAAATTTAAATGTTATTAATATTGTATTTTTTTTTCAAATGTTCTTGAAATTAATTGAATTTTTGAAATTCTTTGTATTTAGTAGTATTAAATTCTTGAAATTGCTTATAATTAGTGACATTAAATTCTTGAAACTGTTTGTGATTCATGTAATTAAATTCTTGAAAGCAGTTGTAAAGATGTTTTTCAAGATTGCAATAAATAAACGAAAATAGCTTACAAATCTGGACCAGCATTTCTCAAATGGTGTTCCGCAGAACCTTAGGGTTCCATAGAAGAGTCACAGGAATTCCAAGAGTTTAAATTTTTTAATTCAGTAATAATGCTTGGAACTTGTAATTATATTTATATCATAGCAATAATTTATCTGATAGTTTGATTATTTTTACGAAATTAAGTAAAATGCCAGTAAAAAAAGAAATGGCAAAATTCATAAAAAATAGCATTAATATTTCTCGCTGAACTTTGCTATTCAAAATAAACCAAATTCTATTCAAAATATGACCAAATTCTTGAATGATTCTCTGATAATATTCTCAACATTTATAGGAGTCATTTTTCGAAAACCATAATTCAGCTTATTTTATTCAGTTTGTAGCTAATGAATGCACCAAAAATAAATTCAAAAATGGAATAGAGGCTCACGAACTGGAACTGTTTGACGTAAAACTTATTTTATTTGTTATAATTAATAAAACGGCTATTGAAAAAAAATTTAATTCTTCACTTTAAATGTTATCAAATAATTAGTAGTCTTTCTTTAGTCAATATGCTCACGGCTGCTATTAAATTTTATTTATATGTTTGGGGTTCCACCAAAAGATGCTTGACCAATTAAGGTTCCACAGCTGTAACACATTAGGAACACAGATCGAAACATGACGTTAAATAAAAATGACGTTTTGATTTACTAATTCATCATTGCATAGCTCAAACTACTGAAGCGAGAAACATGAAATTTGGACTATGGGTTCCTCGTACGGCTATCTGAACCTGAACCTAAAATTGAACCCATCTAGAAAATGAAAGAACTGCTGGATCAAGTAAAGGGAGAAATTTTCCTTTGCGGAGGACTTTTTAATGGAACTAACCCTCATTTGCGTTACATGGAGAGGAAAACCACGAAAACCTCCCACGGTTAGCTTGACCACAAAAAGACTTTAACACACGATCTGACTACCATTGAGGATATTTTACGTCAGTACAGTGATCGGTGCGACCCAGGTACAGAGTTTTTATCTATCAGCCATCACTGAGATTCAAACCCGGTTCACAGCATTGGAAGGTGAATGACTTTCCCCAGAGCCACCAAGGCTCAACAGGTACTAATTGAAATAAAATAAAAATAAGTTATGCATGAAAAAGCAAAATCAATGCAGAAATAGTACTAATTCGCTTGGAAGTAACTTAAAAATTCGCCTTGCTATTATTCTCTTCAATGGTACTTAATTAATTTTGATAATCAACACTACTCATATTATGCTAAGTAAAATAAGTTGTGGTAAGAGTTACATGTATGGTAAGTTTTAATACGTATCACGTTCGCATATACGGGTAAAAAGTGCTATATATATCTTCCGCAGATGATTAAAGTTGTGATCACATGTCTTTCGAGCATAATCAGTGATTTTTCCTAGGCCGTCGCCAATAGCCCATGGTACAGCTCAAACGCGACATGCTACTATTACTTAATAATTTCCTATATAAATCTAGGGGCCATCCTGGCCAAGTGATCTAGTCGTTCCAGAAAGCGCTCTGTTGCTTGAAGGTGACGGATTGGAATCCCGCTTGGACGAATATTTGTGATATCCTTCTCTAGTTTGTGCTATCTGCTTTTCTACTTGACAAATTAGCCTCATTTAGTAATAAGCACAGAAACTAGCATATGTATGAGTTAAATTAAATAGATAAATAAATAAAAAAAAACACGTAGATCTACAAGTTTGTGTGCTCGAACGATTAATTTCCCTTAGCTATTGGGAAGGTAGATACTTTAGTTACCCCACACTAGAGCTGCACAATGGGATATTGGAGACGATATGGGAATCATTCCTCGGGATGATTCGAAGACATGCCATCGCAATTTTATTCTCTGCAGAGGGGATGGCTCCCCTGAGTCTAGATATTGGGAAACAAGTAACACCAATACGAGTGCTTCAGGCTGTGATGTGCTTGTTCAAACACTTTTTGAAATTGTTACAGCTTTGATACATGTCCTTAGATATGCTCGTATTGGAAATATCAATTATGACGATTTAAGCGAAACTACTCGAATGGTAGAGCAGTCAATTTATGAAATATTTGGTTGATCTTTAAAATTATATTTTTAATGATAATATNAAATTGTGATGGCATATCTTTGGATCATCCTCCGGGATGTTTCCCAGACCGTCGCCAATAGCCCATTTGCAGCTCTAGTGTGACATAAATTAACAACAACAGCACAAATTAAAGAGGAGCATTACAAAGAAACATTCAGTGTTATGGTGAGAATCGAACCTGATATCAATTCCGCGTCATTGTGCTTGGCTGTGAAATGATAATAATCATACCACAATCTTATGACCCTCTCTGCCAGAAGTTGTGTTTTGTTCAGTTTAAAGCTAAAGCATTATATGCTACCTCAGAGAATATAGAAATAGATTAAAATAGTTTTAAGTTTGACAGGATAAATGGCCTCTACAATTGAATATTCAAATCTATTATCAAATTAATGACCCGTAGACACATTTATTTATTCATTTATTGGTAAGCATACATGGAGGCTTGAGCGCGAGCTTAATTACATAAGCACGATTATAAGCATTTATCCAATAGAAATACGGATAATACAATTCAGAGTAAGGCAGCACAAAGAAACATCCAGGGTTACGGCGGGATTTGAACCCGCTACCTCCTCGATACATCGACAATACAATTCCAATTAACGAAAATGGGATGAGCACAGTCTCCAAAAATAAATTGGACGTAAATATTTTATGTAAGTTTCCAGATCTTTCAAAGTTTTGTTTTTCTTATCAGTTTCTTGAACCAGACCCTTCAGAGAGATATAGATTTCGAGTGATATTAGAGAGGCACCTCGACTTCCAAACAATACTGGAGAAGTTTCTCAATCTCGAAATGATACTGGAGAAAGATCTCGAAATGATACTGGAGAAAGATCTCGAAATGATACTGGAGAAAGATCTCGAAATGATACTGTAGAAAAATCTCGAAATGATACTGGAGAAAGATTTGGAAACGATACGGGAGAAAGATCTCGAAATGATACTGGAGAAAGATTTGGAAACGATACTGGAGAAAGATCTCGAAATGATACTGGAGAAAGATCTGGAAACGATACTGGAGAAAGTTCTCGAAATGATACTGGAGAAAGATTTGGAAACGATACTGGAGAAAGATCTCGAAATGATACTGGAGAAAGATCTCGAAATGATACTGGAGAAAGATCTCGAAATGATACTGGAGAAAGATCTCGAAATGATACTGGAGAAAGATCTCGAAATGATACTGGAGAAAGATCTCGAAATGATACTGGAGAAAAATCTCGAAATGATGCTGGAGAAAGATTTGGAAACGATACTGGAGAAAGATCTCGAAATGATACTGGAGAAAGATCTCGAAATGATACTGGAGAAAGTTCTCGAGATGATACTGGAGAAAGATCTCGAAATGATACTGGAGAAAGATCTCGAAATGATACTGGAGAAAGATTTGGAAACGATACTGGAGAAAGATCTCGAAATGATACTGGAGAAGGATCCCGAAACAATACTGGAGAAAGATCCCGATACGAATCGTTTAACGGGCTATACTGCTTTACCGGGAAGACTTCCACGTAGACATAGTGGCCTCGTAAATATTTTTTTTATTATTTTAGGTTCATGCTTAGCTCCTACATTTTTATGAACACACCATCTTCTATGGAGAACATGATTTTAGGTGTAAAATTGGTCCTTTTCTGTAAGAGCATAGCCTCCCTCTCGATGCAAAGGGTACGAAGCTGTGACCTTTTCTACAGTGATATGTGATCTTAGTATTTAGTTATAGAATCTTAGTATCTACTATTTTATTTATGGTTATATATATATATATATATATATATATATCAGTNTCATTTTGAAAAAAAGATAAGACAGAAAGACTAGAAAGATGAGAAAAAAGATTACAAGACGGAAAAATATTGCTCGCTAAAACCGGGTCTTGCTCGTTAAAAGCGACTTCTGTTCCATAGACTTAACATTGATCCAACCAAATATTCTCGTTTCCCTCGGTAAATCCGAGTTCTCGTTAAATCCGAGCTCATTATAAACGAGTTCGACTGTATATATATGTTGGCTTGTGTGCTTATTACGGAGTGCAGTTTATAAGCCCTTGTAGAACTAAAGAACAGGCAACACGAGCTAAAGAAAGACTAACAAAGATATGTCAGGGTTAAGACTGGTTTCTAACCCGCTACATATACGTTACAAAGCGTTGGGCGGAATGCCAATCCAGTTATCATTTTTTAATAAATAATTTTAAAAAAGCATTATAACCGACTCATCCCAAAAAGGTGCTTATGAAAAGTTTTTCATTTCTTTCAGAGTTTCCTTTCAGTTGATCACAATTTAGTTGCACAATTTCAGTTGGTTACAACGAACTCATGAAAATTCAAAGTTAAAAAGATTTCGCTAACAAGATCCACTGTAGTTTTAAAAACTCATCCGTATCATGGCTTAAAACTTTTGTTTCTTAGCTACTCATATCTAACTGTAACTGTGGAGGGGATAATAAATCTCGAGCAATACTAAACTTAGTAATCCACTTCAATTCATGCAATCCTAAACAATTTGTATAGAAGTTTTTAAACTGTTTAAGTGTTTTTTACGAAATTGGTTTTTAATTTTTACTGATCTATTGGAAAGAATTTTTGTAATTTTTTTAAAACTATTTCCAAACTTTGGCTTACTCAATGCTGCGAGACATACATAATATTCACAACTTTGACGCAGTCAATGATAAAAATGAAAAGCTTGGAATTTTGGAGTCCAACTCTCACAATATCAAAAAGAGAACTGTTCTTTCTGCGTCCGATGTGTTAAAGCAACTAAGCAGCAACTTGTCTGTTAAAGCAACTGAACAGGAGAATACCCAACAAGAACAGAAGTTTGCAGGTACTCCAATAAAACGACAATATCTTTGTTCAAACGAAAATTCGGAATTCGAACCTGATTCAAAGAAACTAAGTACTTTTTCTAAGCAGAATCAAGACACACATAATATTCTAGACTTTGACACTATTCAGGATAAAAACGAAGAAGCTAGTACTTTTGCATCCAAAGCTCACAATATCGAAAAGAGAACTGTTCTCTCTGCGTCCGATCTGTTAAAGCGACTAAGCAACAATCTGTCTGTTAAAGCAGCTGAACAGGAGAATGCTCTAAAAGAATGGAAGGTTGCAGGTACTCCTACAAAACAATATCCCTGTTCAAACGAAGATTCGGAATTGAAATCGGATTCCAAAAAACGAAGTGCTTTTTCCGAGCAGAATCAGAAAGCCCAATATTGTCCGAAAATTATTTCTACTGGAGCAAATACAGTATTCGTACCTGAAGTCACCAGTGAAGAAAAGTTTTCAAAAGAATTCTTCGATAAATTCATTAATGAACAGTTTAAAGAAAATCTTACTTCAGTACTATTCGAGGATGACACTGAAATTAGTATTCAAAGAGCGATTGAAGAAAGTTGCAAACTCAGGAACCTAGAGCCTAGAACAGACTTCCGAGGAGAATCCTCAGTACCGAAGAGCACCAACGAAACCTCAATATTCAAAATACCCGAAATACCAACTAGGAGAAGAAAGCGTTTAAGTGCGGAAATAGTATCGAGATCAGCAAATAAGCCACAAAAAATTAAAAAATTTAAAGATTCAAAAAATAAAGTGGCCAAAAATGTGAAACCTCAGCAACCACAAAAACGAAACAAAAGTTCGAAGCGTAATTCTCCTTTGAATACAATTCTAATTAACGAAAATGGGATGAACACAGTGTCCAAAAATAAATTGGACGTAAATATTTTATGTAAGTTTCCAGATCTTTCAAAGTTTTGCTTTGCTTATCAGTTTCTTGAACCAGAACCTTCAGAGAGATATAGATTTCGAAGTGGTGTTAGAGAGGCACCTCGACTTCCAAACAATACTGGAGAAGTTTCTCAATCTCGAAATGATACTGCAAACATTTATGGATCTCGAAATGATATCGGAGAGAGATCTCAAAATGATTCTGGAGAAAGATCTCGAAACGATACTGGAGAAAGATCTCAGATTGATACTGGAGAAAGATCTCGAAACGATACTGGAGAAAGATCTCGAAACGATACTGGAGAAAGATCTCGAAACAATGCTGGAGAAAGATCTCGAAACAATGCTGGAGAAAGATCTCGAAACAATGCTGGAGAAAAATCCCGAATCAATACTGGAGAACTATCTCGAAACGATACTGGAGAAAGATCCCGAAGCGATACTGGAGAAAAATCCCGATACCATGCTGGACAAAGTTCTAAATTCTATAACGACACTGGAATGTTATCGCAATCCCAAACTGTTGCTGAAAAGGTAATTCCGCTTCGAAATGATAATCAAGAGGCATTTCTATCTTTTCTTAACAATCAAACGCAAGATAATTATCTAACCTTTCTAGCTAATGGATTAGAGAACATAATTTCGAATGGATTGGTACTGTTAGAAAATCATATACACTACTGGCATTGCACACCGTGTGCTATCACATCCTGGTCGCCAAAATTAGTAAGTGTCCTTCACAATTTGGCAAGGCATCGCAGCCCAGCAGTGCGCGATTATTTAACACGGCGTTATAATTCAGAACGTCGGCGTCCATTATCGGAAATTCGAGAACGATTCGTTGAAATTTTGGTAGCAATTGGATACGGAATGATAGAAATATTCGATGATCTTCGGTATATTCTTTCATGTGGTAATATACGAGAAGATCATTTAATGATACCAAAAATCATGAATTTCTGGGAAAAGACAGAAAACGATTTTACGGATTTGTGCAATGAATTTTACAATACACGTGAGGATTATCATAATTTTTTTGAAGTATGGACAAGCATGAATGAACATTACATGAATGTCAGAGAAATTTTTTCCACATTTCAGGAGTGTATTATAAATATATTTGAAAGTTTTTGAACCTGCAATTTTTTTTAATGTCTCATGTATTGTGTAATGATGAGAAGTGGATTTTAACTTCAACGTAAGTTTTTGTTAAATTTGATTTTAATGCTGCTATATGTTGTGTTTGAAAAAAATCTTTTTTTAAATCAGGATTATGAAATAAAATTTTAAAATTGTCACAACTTTGTTTCGGGATTTATCTTGCTTCAATTTGAAACGATTAGCTCCTTTATTCCTTAATCGTAAAAATTTTGTTTTTAAATTTTTAGATCCATTTTTTCTGCTCTGTTATATGGAAAACTTTTCAAACTGAACAACTTTTAATCCAATCATCTCATCTTTGCTAAGTGATTTGAAGAACCTACCAGCTAATCAATTAGTGCAAAGGATATATTAATTTTTAATTAATACAAAAATGCATCCTTTGGGTAAACCTAACTGTAATTTATTTATTTATTATTATTTATTGAGGAATTTAGGCTTTTATACCTGGCTAAGGTCAATGCACCCATAAGCGTTGCGTGAAGGGGGGGGGGCACACTTTTTGTTTTTAGAAAACTGCTTGTCTATTTTATGTATAGATGCATATTAATTTTTTAATATGTATGCATATTTACATATATTTTTGTTTTTAGCAAACTATCGATACAGTTTCCTGAAAACAAATATGACCCCCCCTCACCCTATGGCTATGTGTATTATGTACCTTTATATTAACTACAAAATATAGTTTCCAATAGTTATTAGATTTAACCATAATTCCGTCATTTTATAATGTCTTTACCGTTTTTGTATTTTGGCATTTTGTGGAAAAAATTGAGCTAATCAAACTGTCTTACTCATTTATAAGAACTCAATTATTGGAAGATAATTTTATGCATAAATTAACTTTTCCTAACAGTTTATAAATTTGTATTTAAGAGCGATCAATCCTCCATTTGAATTATTTGAAATGCATATTGTTTTAAACTTTAAAAATCCGAACTCTTACGAAAACTTGAATAGATTTTGAGAAATAAAATTTTAAATGAAAGTTAAATTTTTATATTACAGAAACTATTAAACCGGTTCAGTTTGCAATTTAGTCTGTATTATTCAAAACAAAAAAAAGCTAGATATTAAAATTTTAAACTATTTTCAATTATTAACTGCTAATATTGTAGCCTTAAGTACAGTAACGCATCCTTCAGTTTAAATTAAACAAGCCTTCGAATAGCACAAGCATAAAAATCTTTTAGTTTCTTTTTTAAAGAATATTTTTGTTTTGCTTGTCCTATTAAAATAATTCTCAATTAAAATAGCAAATATGCTCAAAATTAACATTTATTTTAAAGTTCCGCCAAATTTTCAACCTTCACCAAGGTTGCAAATTTGTCGCAGCGAAAATTCCCACCGATTATAAGTTCTAAAATCGAGATTTTTTTCAATCCGCGAATTTACGTGAAAATTGGTTAGAATTTCAAATTTATTTTTAGTTTCAACTGTAATCTAACGGCAGTCAGAGCATTTCTTTGGAGTTTCAAAATTGATAATAAATTTGATTCATGATTGATAAAATACATTAAAATATCAATAGTAAAATGTCAAATCTAAAAGTATCTTAATATTTGAGGATAAATTAACGAATTAAATGCTGACAAAAGCAACAGTCTATGAATAAACTGCAAGTTGAGTTATGGAAATTGATTATGTTTTGGAAATCAAAGACTAGTCCATTTTTTTTACTAGAGCATCATTCGAATTGGCCATATTTGATGTTTATTAGTGTCTTTAACAAATAACACGGGCGCAAAAGATCGTTTGGCAGTGAAATTAGACTTTTAGTAGGTATATACTTTTAAAAAAATTCGATGCAGGTGTAGCTGATATAATCGGTGAAGAACCGAAATTGCCCAACTCTGTCTTCGCAAATTTCTTCAAAGAGCTTAAGCCATACTATTTATTGTAACACATAAATATGTTGGCTTGTGTACTCATTATAACGACAGATACTAAAAACTTGTCTAGTTGAACAGATAGTACAAATTAGGTAAGGGCATCACAAAAATATATCCATCGTTATGATGAGATTTGAACCCGCTACATCCACTCTACAAAGCGTTTGGAGGACAAAGGAGACCCCTTAACGTTATGCTAGCTACACGACATTTTTTTAGGGGTAATCATTTTGGAACTATTCTTACTGCACACGAGTGATAACCTGATTGGTAATATAAATTGAGCAGCGAAAAATTTGCCAGTCAAGTTTTTATTCCTTTGCAGTGAGAACTGTTTCTAAGGATTGGAATTCATCCTTAGCGGTTATCCAATTACAGAAGTTGTTTTTAAGCATTTGTATGATATTCGTTAATAGTGTTAATTATTGTTATTGTTGTTAATTTACGTCGCACTAGAGCTGCACAATGGGCTATTGGCGACGGTCTGGGAAACATCCCGGAGGATGATCCGAAGACATGCCATCACAATTTTGATCCTCTGCGGAGGGGATGGCACCCCCGCTTCGGTAGCCCGACGACCTGCGCGCGAAGTCGAGCACTTTACGGTAGCACAGTTTAACGAGGACCAATACCGCACACCCTCGGTCCCTACGCAGACTGATCCAAGTGGTCACCCACCCGCACACTGACCGTAGCCAGTGATGCTTGACTTCGGTGATCTGCTGGGAACCGTGTCTTAACGATCAGTCCACTGCGGGACTTAATAGTGTTAATATTTTTGTTTTGCAAGTTCGCGAATCGCGAACCTGCGTTTTTTCCCTCTCGCAGTCATAGATCGTTGTGTAAGTTGTTGTAGTTCAGTTACGTCGCACTAGAGCTGCACAATGGGCTATTGGCGACGGTTTGGGAATCACCCCTTACAATGATCTAAAGACATGCCATGACAATTTTGCTCCTCTGCTGTTGTTGTTGTTCATTTACGTCGCACTAGAGCTGCACAATGGGCTATTGGCGACGGTCTGTGAAACATCCCGAAGACATGCCGTCACAATTTCAATCCTCTGCGGAGGGGATGGCACCCCCGCTTCGGTAGCCCGACGACCTGCGCGCGAAGTCGAGCACTTTACGGTAGAACAGTTTAACGAGGACCCATACCGCACTCTTTCTCTCTGTCTACACGCAGACTAATCCAAATGGTCACCCATCCACACACTGATCGATGTCAGGGATACTTGACTTCGGTGATCTGCTGGGAACCGTGTCTTAATGAAGTGACCGCTGCGGTACCGTTGTGCAAGCGGCATCATACAATTCCAGAGAACTTCCAATTTTAAATGCTTAAAGGGTTATTCTTACTGCATCAGATTCTTAAATAAGATTTACGCATTCGCGAGCAGTTTCTTTCTCAGGCAATTTTTAAACATTTTAACGCGTGTGAAGGGGGATTGGATACAACGGATCGGAGTGAAACCGTCTCGAAGAAGAGGGGTGGTCTAGGGAATAAAGAAATACGTAGATAACATCCTCAGGGATGTTTCCCAGACAGTCGCCAATAGCCTATTGTGCAGCTCCAGTGCGACGTAAAATGAACAACAACAACAACAACAATGGCCACCTTGAGAATGACCTTTCATCATACGGGCAAGTGAAAGGCAGATTTTTTGGTCACTCTTTCAGGGACACCACATTAGGTGGGCCAACGTTGCTCCAACAGTAAGGACAGATAGTACAGAGAAGAAAAGAACGCACATGCTTTGCCCGGGATTCGAACCCAGAACCTTTCTGATTCAAAACCAGTTCCCTGACCCCTGCACAAGCCGGTCGGCTCACACAAGCTTACATATGCATGTAAATAAAATATGTTAATTAAAATTTAATGGAATAAAATTTAAGTTGGTGCATATATGAGTTGTGTTATTATTCTTGCTCACCTGCGTTATCTTAAAAGAATGAAGAGAATACCCATGTTTACGGCCAGAAACGAATCTATTATTTCCTACTCCGTGATGCGATTATCGAACGAGCAATATCGCGATTATAGGAGTCACAGATTTTCAGCTATGTCCTCCTCAAATGTGTCAACAGTCAAGGAAAACTATGTGAAGATGAATACTGAAAGGGTTTGTTGAGCCAGCAGTTGGGACATTTACAATTGTAATCACAGTGTATACTGTACTATGGTTAAAAGGAATAATGGTCTGTGATTACAGAGCGATTGATTATTGTAATCATTTACATTTTACTCTATTCTACGTTCTAGTCTGTGATCAAGATTGTCGGTGCATTCACTAACATTAATCAATTGATCAGCCTTCCAGGAAAACTAAGAAACTGGTGGTAAAATTTCTAAAAAAAAAGTATTCAAAAACTCAGTACCTTACCTTTCCAAATTAATATCAGAACAGAAATCATTTTTCGTTCATAAGTAGTTGGAAAGGTAAAATGGCGAGTTTTCGAATGACTTTCAGAAGGTTTACTACCTGCTTTTTAGTTTTCTCGAGAATTGGTCAGCTTAAACATTAATGAAAAGTGACATTGTTTAAGATCGTAAAACTTATAAACATTTAAATGTAAAACCACATAAAACACATAATTACAGAAGTGGAACTAAGTATTTGCAAACGGGGTCCACACTACTACGCAAAAGGCTAATCGTGCTCAAAAGTCATTAAAGAACTTCGATATTTGAGGAGCTAGCATTTTATAAAATTTGAACCAGCGTATTTGAACATAGATTTTAAACTGTGATTAAGTATCTTCGGGGCTCAAACCTAAGACCTTCTATTATTTATTTATCGTTGCACATGTACGTGTATATGCAGGCTTGTGTGTTCATTGTAAAATATAGCTCATAATCCTTTGAGAGTCGAAGAACAGATAGCGAAAGTCAGAGAGGGCATATCTAAGGCTACGGTAAGATTTGAACCCGCTATCTCCATGCTATCGAGTGTTTGGGAAACGGTAAGTCAGTATGGCTGGAGGGGAGGCTTTCTATATCATAGCGTTTAGTCGGTAGGCCAGGGCTGTCAGCAAGCGGCTACAGGCTCCCAGTTGAAAAATCAGGATGAGGCCACCTCGGTTTCATTTTCTCGTTTCATTAACTGCATACTGTAAGATGCAGCTGATTATCTAAAATTATTTTCACTAATGTACGATCATCGTGCGAGTACAGCTCGGATCGGTTCAGTTGATTTTATTCTTTCCACACGTTACATGTTTTTAGTTGGTAAAGTCATTCTAAAAGCATAAGGACATTAATTTTTACTGTCTATGCTATTTATATTTGTATCAAAAGAATGTCCCAAGATAAAGATGATTCTCAAAACTTCACGGATTCTTCTGAAGATGAAAAATTTGACATTTCGACTGCCAGCTCTGAGACTTCCGAAAAAATTACCGACGATGATTCCAGCAAATCAAATTCTGAAGTGGATGATAATCAAGTTGATGACAAAGGTCAGTGTGCAGCTGAAAGTTCAAGACCTATTTCACTGTCGATTGACTTACAGGAGCCTTGTTTGTCCATTAAAGCAGTCAAACAAGCAGATGTTCATCAGCAATTGAAGATCCCAGGCACTCCAACAAAACGAAGATTTCCTTTTTCGAATGAGGATTCGACATCAAATGCTGATTTCAAGAGAAGTACCATTTCTTCATCATCACAACAAAAAGCAGAAGAGTCCAAAAGTAATAATGCTATTGAATCAAATCTCCCATTGACACCTGCTGTCATAACTCGAGAGAAATTTGAAAACGAGTTTACCAAAGTTGCTGACGAAGAGAATAAAAACAATCAGCATTCATCACAAAGGACTGAATTCGATTCCCAGAGCCCTACTGCGCAAAGCATTCAAAGACAGAGTGACGCCTACAGTTCAGTTTCTGATGCCGATAAACAAGTAAATATCCATAAGGAAACAAGAACTTCAGAGACTGCGACAAAACTCGGATTACTTCCTTCAAACGACAATTCGGAATCTCGGTCAGATCCCGAAAAGCAGGTCAGTTCTATCAAGCCGTATGAAGAAGTGGAAACAGACGCAACGATTGCTGCAACTACTGAGTTAAATCTCCCACCGCCACGCATTTTTATTTCTCTAGAATACTTCAAAACGGAGTTTACCAAAGTTTTTGAAGAATATAATAAAAGAAATTCCCAGCTTTCATCACAGCATCTCAAATTCTTCCCTCAGAACCCTCAAAAACAGACGGACTGCCCTAGTTCCTCGTCTGATGTACCTAAACAGGTAAACATCCAACAGCAAACAAAAGTTCCTGGCAATTCAACAAATTTGGGATATCGTTCCTTGGAGGAGCTTTTGGATTGTCCAACAAATCGGCGAGATCCCCTTTTTGACGAGGATTTGGATTCCCAGCCAAGTTCTGAGATCCTTTCCAACTCTGATGAAAATGAAGAGGTCTCAAGTACGGCTACTATTGACTTAAATCTCCCACCCTCTAAATTTATTTTTTCTCCAGCGAGATTTGCAAGAGAATTCACCAGAATTTCTCATGATTTGAATAAAGAAAATTCCAAACTCTCCTCTCAAAAAGCAATTTCACGAAGCCCTCAAACGTGGCCCGGTGATCCCTGCTCAAGTAAGCAGTCTGACACCCAACATGGAAAAAAAAGGCCTAAAACTCCCCAAAAACGTCGTCTTTCTTCTGAAGAAAATTCCGGATTGCAACCAGACTCCAAGAAATATATTGCTTCCACCAGACCGTTGGCAAAAGTCAAAGGGCATGCAAGAACTCCAAGTTCAAGTGAGTTACAACTCCCATCCTCACGCGATGTTTTCGCTCCAGAAAGATTTGAACAAGAGTTCGCTAAATACACTGGTGCAATAAATAAGCAAAATACTCAGCATTCATCACAAGGCTCCAGTCTTCAAAACCCAGATCCACGATTACGAAACGTAATATGGAATCCTTTTTTGACTATTAAGCTTAAGAATCCTCCTATAAACAGATCATCTGATTCTCAAATTGACCATGGAGAGGGACCATCTCACACTCGAAGTGACAGTGAACCATTTGAATCTCCAATTAGTCATATATCATCAGAATCTCAAAGTCAAACTGGAGGAATAAATTTTTCGGAAATAGCTTGCCTTATGAACCGCCTACACTCGGAAAATCTGAAAAATCGACGTTTGGAAATTGCGGCTAGACTTGGTATTTTAGCAGACCACATAAAGGAGTTTCGTAATCTATTAAATGCTATGTCCGTACCACCAATAATACCACCTAGTCATTTAACAAGATCACACAGCTTACAGGAACGTAGGGACTTAGCAAGGAGCTATCACAGAGAAACCATTGCAGAGCGTCAACTATTTTTATCGCAACAGCCCTCAATCGAAATTCTTTCTACATTTGCAACTGGAATGACAGATATATTGAACGATATCCGATATGAGCTCTCAATTGCTACATATAATGCTTGGATGTTCAAGGACAGAGTAGAATATTTAATCGCTCAATTTCGCCAGAATTTTTGTGAGGAAAATGTAGGGAAAAAGAACAAGTGCAATGGTGAATCAGAAAAAGTTGTGAATGGAGAGACTGATCAAAAAGAGATGGACAAGCACGATGATGAGGATTGTAAGGATGATCAAAAAATAGTTAATGGAGAGACTGATAAAAAAAAGGAGGACAAGCACAATGATGAGGAGGACGAGGATTCTGAGGATGATCAAAAAATTGAGATCAAGCTCTATAAGGACTTCTATAATATATTTTTAAAATTTTCTAGAGACGTAGAAGAATTGTTTAAAGGTTTAGAGCCCTGATTCTTTTAAAATTCTTCTGAAATTTTTATGTAAGTAGGATTTTAACTTTTGACAACTTGATTTTTCTTTTTATTTGGTTTTAATAATGTGATCTTTCTGAAAAAAAGTTTTTACCTGTAATTTACAATGAAAATTAAAATCACAACCATGACTGATTTATAAATGTTTAATTTTTAGACTGTGTTAATCCTCTTAGTTGTAAATTTTTTGCAATAAAGTTAAGTTTTTGTATCTTAATTTTATCTAAAATGTGCAGAAGTATCTTTTTTTTAACATGAAGTCATAAATTTCAATGTTTCGTTTAAAGAACATGCTAGTTCTACAAAACCATCTTTAGAGAATATAGTTCTCATTAAAATAATTATTTTAACCTTGATGATCCTGTTTTATAGAATGTTTACAATAAAGTTAACTGTCTGCAGTTGGAATGATTTTGTTTAGAGAATATGTTAGCTATAAAATAACATATTTAGAAAAGCATATTAGAATTATAAAATAACTATTTTAAGCAGCAAGTTGATTTAGCAATAAAATAACTATTTTTGCCCCAGTGACTTCGTTCAAGGAATGTTGAAGTAATAAAATAACTATTTTAGTCCAAGTGATCTCCTTTAGAGATATTAGCAAACTAAAAACTATTTTAACTTCAAACGATTCAGTTTAGTGAGTATGTTAGCAGTTAAATGACTATTTTAGCTTCAAATTATCTCGTTTAGAGAAAGTTAACAAAAAAATACTTGTCTTAGCATTATGGTATGTGAAATCACGGTAATTTTTGTCCAATTTTCTTTGGTATCCTAAGACAATCCACAAACATATACAATCCACTTTTAAAAAATGCATTTATTAGTCAGCAGCTTTAAATAATGGAGGAAAATTTGATTTTTACTTCGAAATATGTAGCTTAGAAAAATGGAAACTCTTAAATGAGATTAAATTTTTAATTAACCCCTTTTGCCCTTGCACCATAGTATTAGAACACATTTTTACTTTTCCTTATGTTCCTTATTTTTAAAAATTTCAACGGCGAAACTTAGTGTCTCAATAATAACACATGCAAGAATAAAAGCACGTAATCAAATTTGCTCAGTTCACGGTAGCACGCCCACAGCATATGTAAAAAATTTTCTAGCAATTTTTAGCTAAAAGGTTGATGCCTGTTTTATTAGATGTAATTATTATGTTATGTAATTATACATAATAATATGAAATATTATTATATGTAATTATCCACATCTTCAATTCATTCCATATTTCAAATTAAGACACTTTATGCCCAATTTAGTAGTTTTAACTGAAAAAATGTTCTCATTTTGCTCGTGTGTTACTGTATTAGAACATGTTTCAACTAGTTTGGTAATCGACTGAATGCTATATTTTATTTTCAAGACATATATTACATATATTACATAGTTTATCTTACCAGTCGCTGATTTTTTTATTTGCCCAATTCTTAAGGGGTTAATAGTTATCAAAAAATCTCTATTTTTAATTGTTACATGAAGAAATGAGGAATTTTAATTCTTAGTATTTTTGGCATGTTGCAGGAAATATTTAAAGTGTATTGTTTACTAGACTCAAATAAGTTATGTTCGTCATAAAATTGTCCAAAATGTTGATTTCTAAGTTTTCATTATATTTTAAAACCCAGTCAAGGAGAGTATGTATTTACTTAAACAATCGGTTGGATTAAAGCTTAATAGCAGAAAAAATATTAAAATATCATTTTTAAGGGATAAAAGCACCAATCTATTGGATCCAATATATTGGACGTTAAATATCGGGGGAAATTTTTTGCTTACTGTAGACTATAAGAATGTTGCTATTGTAATTAAAAATTGTATGGAATGAAACTGGATAAAAAAAAAATTCTTGGCTCTTTGCAATGCTAAAAAATAAGCTTTCAGCTAACTTATAAAAGCTGATTTCTCAAAATGGTGCTTTTCACACTTTAACTAGTCAACTTCAAGTTTCTAACAATTTGTCAGAAAATGTAAGTTGTAAAAAAAAATGGCGAAATGTACTTTTACAACTGGAATACGATTTCATGTACCTTTCTTTTCTCATAATATTTTTTGTATTTTTTATTTACTAATTGAATCAAAAGTTTGAATTTATTATTTAGTTAGTTAAAAACTAAAAACTTAATAAAAAAAATCTTATGATTGGAAACTAAATTAGCAATCAAATGCTGTTAAAGCTTGTAAAAAATTGGATATGAACTAAAGATATCTTTGATAATGGCATAACTTCATTAGCTTGCAAAATTATTAAGTCTTTGACATCAAATTTTAATTAATCACATTTTCATACTTTTTTTATCATTCTGTATCATTTTTTGTTTTTAAAATAAGTGAAAAATATTCTATTCAGAATTTCAATAATTTTAGGTTGTGAAATACACCATGAAACATCTTTTTCTTTTTTTTTTTATAAAATCTTCCTAATACAATATACTTACAATTTTTCAAATTTGCGCTTATTTTGATCTAAGAGAAATTTCTTTAATTTACAAAATCAATTATTGATACATTTTTGAATATTAATGAATAAAAAAAAGTTTAAATTACTTTTTTTTGATTTTATATTTAATTGCAAATGTAATCAAATAGAATTTTTAATAACTTTAGTTTTTTCAGTTAGACTGTTAGAAAAAAAACAAAAAAATTTTTTTTTTGTAATTAGAGAAAAGAAATACAGTCAAACCCCGCTATAGTGAACACGGTTTATAGTGAACTCCCGGATATAGTGAACGAAATGTTCGGTCCCGTGCCTTGCTATACACGGATAATGTTATTTTTTGTGGATATAGTGAACCAAAAAAGTGAGGAAGTTGGATATAATGAACTTTTTTCTGTCTTCGACTGATTTTTTAAAAAAAATNGCAAAATTATTAAGTCTTTGACATCAAATTTTAATTAATCACATTTTCATACTTTTTTTATCATTCTGTATCATTTTTTGTTTTTAAAATAAGTGAAAAATATTCTATTCAGAATTTCAATAATTTTAGGTTGTGAAATACACCATGAAACATCTTTTTCTTTTCTTCGAAGTTAAAAATAAAATCTTCCTAATACAATAAACTTACAATTTTTCAAATTTGTGCTTATTTTGATCTAAGAGAAACATCTTTGAAATTTCTTTAATTTACAAAATCAATTATTGATACATTTTTGAATATTAATGAATAAAAAAAAGTTTAAATTACTTTTTTTTGGATTTTATATTTAATTGCAAATGTAATCAAATAGAATGTTTAATAACTTTAGTTTTTTCAGTTAGACTGTTAGAAAAAAACAAAAAAAAATTTTTTTTTTGTAATTAGAGAAAAGTGTATATATAAGGGACGCTGGTGCCCCATCAGCGTTACAAGGTTAAGAAATTGTCGACATGTCAGAAATCAGAAAAATCAGTAGTCGAAAAAGTCGAACTTCCTGATATAAATTTTCTTTCTCTTTGCTGCTTAATCTCTTGGGTTTGTTCATTTTAAGTCATCTTTGCACGTATGAAAAAATAAGCTCCATGAAAACTGCAGTTAAAGTTTGCAGAAGCTTTTTCATCTCTACGCAGATGAAAGCAAATTTATGTGTTTCAGTTTATATACATGTAAGCATTTTATAAGAAGATTTTCTAAACTGAATTATATAAATTTTCTAGAAAATATGCTATTGTCATGTAATGTGAAGTTAAAAAATAATAAATTCGCTTTAAAATTCTTTTTATTTCATTTTAATTGAATCTGCTATTTTGAAAATAGTCTCAATTGGATTTTCTAAGCATCTATTCAAGATGGCCGATCCAACTTTGTTTCATATTAGTAAAAGCTGTTTTTGCTTTGTATTCGCATGAAATGATGATTTTGTACGAATAATATGCTATTTTCATAACTGCAGTGAGTTTAAAAAAGTTACTCACGAATGTTAGGTCAAGTTTAGACTGTCTTTAGCCAGTAACCTCTATATCTATTCTGCAATTGTTGCAAAATGTCAATAAGAAGAAAAGCCACAGTTTAAAAAAAAAATGAAAAGTGTTTGTGGTCCAATTTTTCTGTTTTTAGAACTTACTCCAATGCTGCCTTATCTGGAAGAATGTCTCAAAATTGGTGATTTTTAAAAAAGTCTAATAACATATACAATATTTCAGTTATTTGTCCATCTAGGCACTTTGATTAGACAGTTTCCAGCATTAATTGGTCAAGTTTAGTACAGGCATGTGATTGACAAAAAAGAGGAAGTTTACAACTGTAGCACTAAACATGCAAAAGAAAAAAATGATATGAATTCAGTAGCCAATCTGATACTGATTACAGAATTATCTATTCAAATAAATATAAATAAATGTTATGTTCTTAAATAAAATCTTGATTAATAATTTTTTTTAATAATTTAGATAACTTTGAGTAATTATGCATAGTCACGATTTTATGCATCACATCATTTTAAAACACATTACTGTAATGGTCAAAGGACCTTTGCGGATTTTCTAATCAGTTCTTTGTTTTTTCGATGATCTTTCATTAGCATGACTGATCTGTAGACTGCGTTTTGCAGACTTTTGATCATCAGTGTTGGTAGGACAAGAAAGTTCATTTTTCGCACAATTTTTAGAGGCCTTAGATTTTAATTTTTGTAAGTGCAATTACTTCTGAAATTTGACAGCTTTTGCTGATATTTTTTTGCAGCCTCTTTTGACACCAGCTTTTTTTTTATTTTCCTTACTGCAATTAACAAGTTATTTACAGATGCAAATATTCCCTTCGTGCAGGAGAGTCTTTAAAAAACCAGTAAACAGATGATGCAGCATGCTCTACTTCAGGAAAAGCAGCAGAGCAACCACCCCTAAAGGCATTATGCACCATGTGCAGTCTGCATTCAAGAGACTCACATTTAGTTCATTATGTCTAGCACTTTTAGGTTGACATTCGGGCCATCCATAGATAATTGTAGTAAACTTTTAGCACAATCATTTCTCATTTATTTTTTCAAATGAAAGTTCAGATGTGGCATGGCCTAGAAAATCTGAAGAATAGTAGCGCGTATTTATTTGGTTACCATCCCAAAATCTTACATGTCAATCCAATTGTTTGAATTGATTAGCATCATTTAGACTTTCATCAAAAAGCAGTACATAATTGGTTTCCTCTTTCACCCTAGACGAAAAATATGTGCTATGCCAAAAACTGAGAGGAAGGCAGTTTTTTTTTCCTTCACAACTGAAATTGCTTGCTATCAGAAAACATAGCTTTAAAAAGAAAATTTGCATTTTCACAAGATTTGTATGAATAATGCGAGTTTAAAACCTTTAAAGTCCATAAAATTTCAACTTTTGTAGTGAGGCTATTCAAATTCGATTCAAATTATAAACAGTCACAGGAACATCACTTTGAACTGAATATGAAGTGATTGGTTGGTTAGGAGATCCCACA